CAATAAAAAAAAAACAAAAGAAAATAAAAATAAAGAGCAAAAAAGAAAAACAGGAAAAACTCCCTATTTTCGTGTGTGGTTAGATTGTGTGAGCCTGTGAGGTGCTAGAAAGTATATTGGCCTTTCATGTTGTGGTATATTGTAATGTCCGAATTCAACTATCAAACAACCTTTTGTAGACTAATTTACCAAAAGAATAGTCGGTGAATCCGTGGCGGGAAGAGCTGAAAATTGTTATTAACTTGTGTCAAATAGTTTATTGGTTGCTGTGTTATGTGAATGTGTTTTGAGATCATCTTGAGCGAGCTAGAAATGCAAGGTGGCATATATTGTGACAAGTGGCTGGTGTTTATCAGTTGTTTTGAAATGATTCCTTTTTCTGTATTAATGTAGATTCAAGAGTTGGAAGTAGCTCGCCCATTAATCCTATCAGAAAGAGCAGTAGCTGTTGCGCTTGCTATATCTCTGGATAATGATTATTTTTCAAGACATGGAGGCTGGTGAGTAATTTGGTAATCGCTATTTATCCTGTGTTTGCATAACTAATGAACTGTTTACCCATTNATTTATCCTGTGTTTGCATAACTAAGGAACTGTTTACCCATTACGAGGAAAGCTGCTCATATGCTGCCACAGTATTGCTTTTTGAGAACTGACTGCTAACTTCAAGTCAAATTTGATTTATTCTCAGGGGAATACCATTTGTTGTAGTCAGTGAATGAGATTAAATATGTATACTTAACTAGAAGATGTATAGAGCACCAAAGTGGGAGTAATCAAGACCCTGTTTTCTCAAGATCTCTACAGTATTCTTCATTATGTTTTAGATCATCCTACTGGTCAAAGAGATCATCATCCTCATGAAAAAGATCATCCTGCTGTAAGAAAATGCTGCTCGGTCAGGTACTCACTGGTTACTCTTTCAAGTATTAGTCTCTGCCTGTTTGTTGGCCTTCTAGGTTTTGCTACACAGCTTGTTGTGATGATGATAATGTTAGGAGAAGTCTTCGCGCTGGAGTAGCTCCCTCCATCTTAATGTTTTTGATGGGGTTTGTTACGTGATAACAATGCATTTTAGCTAAAAACTTTGACTTGATGTTTATGCCCTTGAACTTGTAGTGCTTTCTCTACTGAGAATCGACACGAAATGTTCTGTCAATGTCAATTTGATATGTATATCAGCTGAGAATTTAAGCGTTCCTGGACTACTTGGAATCATACATTTTAAAGTATTATCATAGGTTCAATTATCAATTATGTACTTTACTGTTGCTACCAATGCACAATTGTCTACCAGATATGTTTGTAGCTTTGTTTTAAAAGGCAGAATTGGGACTCGCCGGGAGCTCGCTCCGAGGCGGAGCACTCGTAAAACGCCCCAGGGCTTATGTGTGGGGCTTAGTTCCGTGAGACTTACGCCTCGGCCATCGGGGCTTACGGCCCGGACACGCCCAACACCCAGCTTACTGGGCTCGCCTAATAGAACTTTATGCATTTGTATGTAACTAACTTTGTAATCCTCAAATTTTCTTAATAAATCGTTGACTATTCAAAATTATTTTTTTCTTAATCATAAATCATTCAATTGAGAGTATTTTATATCATAATTAAAATAAAAATTATTGCACATTATCCACTAAGACTGCTATGATAGTTAATTTTAAATAAATCATTCATTTAAAAAGTATTTATTTATTAACTTTTGTTATGTTTTTACTATATAATAGTCCATAATTTTTTTTTATAATTATTTTTCTAAATATTTTTTTTTCACGTTTACGAGATACAAATACTTATTAATTTAATAGCTTAGTATTAGCTAGTAACTATTTACAACTAATTAGTTATCATGGTATTGTATGGTGAATTATGTGTCACTTTATTAACTTGTTGAAACTTAAAAATAAATGATNTAATAGTCCATATTTTTTTTATAATTATTTTTCTAAATATTATTTTTTTTCATGTTTACGAGATACAAATACTTATTAATTTAATAGCTTAGTATTAGCTAGTAACTATTTATAACTAATTAGTTATCATGGTATTGTATGGTGAATTATGTGTCACTTTATTAACTTGTTGAAACTTAAAAATAAATGATGCTAGAGAATCATATTTAAATTGTGAATGATGTTTTATATAAATTCTCTTTCAAATAGAAAGCATGTTAAATAAAAGGAGTATTTTAAGAAAAATAACAAATTATAATATCAAAATTATTTCAAGATTCTTTACTCCTTAAGAGATAAATATAAGATTTCGTATCGAATACATTACTTTTGATGTTTAAGTTGTAACGACGTTGCAGCTATTTTGCATATTATGATATATGTAGTGTTTTTCGTTTTATTCGTAGTTGAATTATAATTTATAAATATTTTAAATAGATTATTTGTTATAATTTTGTGATCTTAATGTAATTTTTATAATTATTTTTTATTTTATACTATCTTAAAATTCTTGAAATTAGTAAAATTTAAAGATCCGTGGGACTTATGCCCCATATCTCAGGGCTTACGCCTCGCCTCCTCAGAGGTAAAACGCCTCGCCTCACGCCCCCACCTTTTAAAACATTGGTTTGTAGACAATAAATTGCGTCGAGAAAATATAATCGAGACCGAAAAATATTGCAACAATCGTAGTATTTGATTTCAAATATTTGAGTGTACAATCTCTATGAATCTTCTGATTTTTCCTTCCAATAGTAAATAAATTCAAGGGTCTTTGAGCTTGAGCTTGAATATGTAGTTGTTGCCACGAACGATGATCTCAAATTCAATTAGCACGAACTTTGATTTGAACTCGTACCCCTTGAATCTTGATTTGTTCTTTGTTCTTGAGCTTGAACTTGATTTCTTGAACTTAAACTTGATTGCTTGAAGTTTGAAACTTGTAGAGAAATTTGCGGCGTTTGATCCACGAGCTCTCTTTTGCTTCTTGTTATAACTTATGGTGTCTTTTTTGAGTTATGAAGACCCCTATTTATAGTTGTGGGATGAAGAGTTATGACCCGGTTTAATACTCTAGCGCAGTCGCACTAAGGCAGCACTTGGCCCGTGCTAGAGTGAATCAGCATTTTCTCTCTTCTTTTCTTTCTTCTTTCACACGTACTCAGCTCCGAGGTGCTTCCCTTGCTTTAATTTAGCTCCAAACACTGTCCTAAGTCCTCATAAGCACAACTTGCTCCTACAAAACATGAAATTCACAATTAGCGCCAACTTATCGTCATTTAACTATCCTAGAATGGTGAAGCATAGTCAAGTTGGGGCATAAATAGTCGCCAAACTACATGAATCTAGCCTATTATCAATACCCCACACTTAAATCATTGCTAGTCCCCGAGCAATCCACCATACTCTATAAAGGTTCCTTCACTAAGCTTTTCCTTACGTATCACACCAAGAACATATCACCAAAGTTGTGTCTAGTAGTGTAACAGCTTTGCCTCAAGAGTCGACTCTCACGTGCCGTGCAATATTCATACTTACTCAAATTACTCTATACAGAGGTCACGACTTACCTTTCCTTCGTGAATCAAATGCCCTCACATCGCACAAGATGTAGTTCCACAAATAATAATATTGAGAACAATTAGGAACTTAGATAGACAAAATTCGGTCACTCTAAGAAAGAAAATTCATATGCCACACAGATGCACCATAGGCTTGCCCGTTGTGTACTACTCTACTAATCGAGCCCATTCAGTCTAAGATCAATTAGGACTTCATTTGGTTGTAATGTAGGCTAAGGGACGGGTAGGATATATTTGGATATAGTGACTAACATCCCTAAGCACTTTTAATACAATCACTTTTGCATTCAGAACCATACTTATGTCCGACCAGACATTCCACCACACTTCTATTTATAATACCCCAAACTCCATTAGGTGCAATTGTATCAAGTCACCACTTATCAAGGACTACATTTACTATTTTCTTTTCTTTTTTTTTCTTTTTAAGTGGCTCTTATTCTTTTATTTTTCAAATTACTGCACCTTTTTCTCTATTTCATTGGTTCCACTCAAAAACCAAACCACCACCCAACATTTTAACTTTTGCATATTTCATAACCATTCAAGTGCTCATGGGAGGTAAATGGGTTCAAACAGATGGGCCGTTCAAATAATTGTATAAGGTTTGTAATGTGGTTGCCAAAGAAACAGGCTTATAAGCTCAATGGGGTTAACTATGATGTATTGCATTTAGGTGAGTCTACTTTATATATCTGGCTTAATAAAGAAATGCATATATCACTTCTAAGACTGAATAAAACTACTATTTCGCTTTGCAAACACACGGGGCAAGTTCTAGGCATCAAAGGCAGAGCATAGAATACAATACACTCACACACACATGGCACATGACTCACTCCAGATTGGCTTATCAAGATACTCTCGTTTGAGTACTCAAGTCAGTTACAAACATACATTTTAAGGCACTCTAATAAGAATCAACCACTCAGAGTAAGTGTCACACTCTAGTGTATACTGTGTTCAGGTGTATCAACGTCAAGGGCTTCTCTTCCTATTTCAACACATCACCTATAAGTACAAACTAAAAACTAGAAACAAAATAAACAAAAACTAACTACACCCGGTTCAAGCAAAACCCTTGGAAAAGAACCGCGGCCCAAAGAAAAACCAAGGGGGAGTTACTACACTACCTAAAACAGAACAAAAAATTGGTGTTTTCTTTAGACTTACTTCCCTCAAGAAAACTGTCTAAAAGATCCGTCATCAGGAAGAGTCCAACATATTTCTGGTTTTTTTTAGAGATTTTCTCATCGACTTGGACCCTCAAGAACCCCGTCGAAAGAGATCCGTCGTCAGGCCAAGTCGACTTACCTAATGCGACTGCTACTCAAAACCACAAAAAACAAAGAAAACACAAAAATATCAAGTGCTTACATATATGCACATACACCGAAGTATCCCTCACCCCACACTTGAAAAAAAGACATGTCCTCATGGCATACAAAATAAATAACAGTGAGGTAAAGGAACTTCCCTGAAGGATCAATCTTGATCGGAGACCGTCCCCGGGTTCAGATGACATGCACGACCCAGAGCTCGCAGCCAGCTCAATATTTTCTTCTCAGATTTAACCTGCTGGGTAGCCACCGCATCAATACGCGTACTTAAGTGATCGACCGAGGTACGCAACCCAGCCACCTCCCGCTCTAAAGCTGTTAATCGGGTAACCCAACCAACCCCAGATGGTCCTGCAGCTTTTGCAACCGGCGCATGGACGGGCGGCTCGGCTTCCGCTTCCTCCTGCTCATCCTCGCCCTCCTCAGATGCATCGGAGTCATCACTATCATCACCACTAGGTGCCACAGGCTCCTTCCCAGTAGTCACCTTGTCAGTTCGAAACTTTGACTCTTTTGTCACTAATTCATCCACATTCAAATTTTCCGACACCCGAGCTGCCTGCAAAGCCTAGTGACTAGTGAGGGGAAAAAGAAACCATACCTCTTTATCGGACAACGTGTAAACATCTCCTCGTGCAATGGCTTGGCCACGTCAAAGTTGTGACCATTTATAAAGCACCAAATTAGAGCAGCTTGAGGAGCATTCACTTCCGTGGTGTTGGAGGACGGGAGCATGCGGTTGTTGATGACATATACAACCAGCACTTCCCTTTGAGCACCGCGGAATGAAACTTCTTCCCATATTTTATCCATACAATTTCCTTGCCGGGTACACAAATGGTTTCAAAGAACCTCTCCCACTGGGTGTATCTTCGACCATACAGTTCATAATAGTCGTCCAACTCCTCCACAGGTCCGGGCAGCTGGTATATCCTCCGAATAGCCTCAATAGAGGCATCCACAACCTTCTTGCGCACTGTTACTACACCATTTACATGTTCTTTTACGTTGGCATAAAATTCACGTACAACCATTAAATTCCCAGCGTGCGGCTCTTCAAAGAAGATTTGCAGCCCCCGCCTGACCAGCTCATTATACAAGTTGGGTCAGCCCAGTTGGAGCGACCCTATATCTATGCCCCTCTCCGGTATTGGTTTCTTGGAGGCCTTATCAGCAAAACGGTCTTGAGCCTTAGCGGAGATGAACTTGTTACTATCAAAAGGATGAGCAGGAGCTGACCCGCGTGCCCTGGAAGATCCAGCTTAACCGCTGGATGAAGCACCGGTAGTTCGGTGTTTCCTGGAGGGTGCCATAGTACCTGGAAGAAGAATATCATTAGCACAACCCAAATAAAATGTGACTCAACTGCGGTTACTCAGACT